TAGTTGCGGGTCTAGCCATGGAAGCCATAGGAATCTGGGAACTAGCCGTAGCAAGCCACGGAACCAACCACAGCAAACCATGGAACTAGCCATAGGAAGCCATGGAACAAGCCATAGCAAGCCATGGGGAGTAGCCAAAGCAAGACAAGGAACTAGCCATAGGATGCCATGGAACTAGCCAGAGGCCAAGGAACTACCGAGATCGCGCTAGGTCAAATTTGAGCCCGCGCCTCGGAACCTTGGACAATTCCTCTTGGAATTGAGCTAGGATTCGCATAGGCAAGCCTGTTTGGATACAATGTTGCAGCACGTATTCTGCCATGCGCACCGAACGCATCAGAAAACTACAAAGGCAGGTGCAACCTCCATCCTCCCCCTCCTCCTGCTCCCCCACCTCATCCTACTTCCTCTCGCTCATCATCCTTCCTCTCTCCTCTTTCTCCCTTCTCCTCCCCCTCCTCCTCCTCCTCCTCCTCCTCCTCCTCTCCCTCCTCCTCCTCCTGTTCATTCCTCCTGTTCATTCCCCCTTTCCTGTCTCGCTCTCACTCCTCATCCTCCCCCTCCTCCCCTATCCCCTCATCACATCGCTCTCCCCGTCTCCCTCCTGCCTCCGCGCTCCTCCTCGTCTCTCGCCCTACTCCACCCTCTTCCTCCCGCCTCTCCCTCCCGCCCTCCTCCTCCACCCAGGGGGCCAAGGGCGCCCCCCCGGCGCCTTCGGCGTCGGAATTAATGTCCTGGCTCAGGAGAATAAATGTCCCGGGGGAAATCCCGGCAAAATCCCGGGCAAAATCCCGGGCTGGACATTTAATCACGTGAAGCTGGATTTTAATTAAACCATGCTGTTTACAAGGGATAATAAATGTCCAGCTTCACTGGAATTTTTGTCCCGTCAAGAAATCCCGGGCAAAATCCCGGGCTGTACATTTAATGCACGCTCCCCCTGGGCGCCGCGAGTGCCCCCCGGCGCCGCGGCGCAGCGCCGAGGGCCCAGCCACGCCAAGGGCGACCCTCGCAGGAACCAGCTGGCGCTCGGAGGAGGACGACGACTACAACCCTCGTTCCCCCCCCTTCTCCTCCTCCACCCTCCTCCCACCTACTCCTGCTCCTATTCCTCCTGCCTCCTCCTCCGCCTACTCCTGCCTCCTCCTCCGCATCCGCATCCTTTTGCTCCTGCCCCTCCCCTCCTCCGCCTCCCCCATTGCCCCCCCCGTCCTCGTTCTGATGCTCCTCCTCCTCCCCAACCTCCTCCTGATCCTTCTGCTCCGTCTGACACTCCTTTTTTCGATCCGTCTGCTCTCTCTCTCTCTCTCTCTCTCCTCATTCTGCCCCCCCTCCTTGTCCCCCCCCTCCTCCAGCAGTGATATCCACCGGCGCTGACTGCAAACATATAATAGGAGCCACTAGCACCTTTACTGGAACCACTACTTCGTCTACGACGACGGGCCGACGACGAGGAGACGTCGACGCCACGACGACGACGAGACGACAACAACATGGACGACGACGGGGCGACAAAGACGGCGACGACGAAATAAAGATGACGACCACGACGAAGACGACACGAAGACGACGACGAGACGACGACGAGACGACGACGGCACGACGACGAAACGACGACGACTACGAACGACGACAAGAGGAGGACGACGACGACACGGCGACGAAACGACGACGACGACAAGACGTTGACGACGACAAAGCGACAGTGATTAAACACTGACAACGGCGACACGACGAAGACGTTGACGCGACGACGGCAACGAGACAACGACGGCGAGACGACGACGAGACGACGACCACGCGGCGGCGCCAACGACTAGACGACGACAACGACGACGAGGACGACGACGACGTGACGACGACGACGAGGGGAACGACGAGACGACGACGAGGCGAAGACGACGAGACAACGACGACGACGAGAAAAATACGGCAACAAAGCATGACAAAACGACGACGACGACGAGGCGACAACGATACTAAGAGATGATGACGACGAGGCGAAGACGACGGCGCCGACAACATGACGGGACGAAGACGACAACGCCGACGACGACGACGATGACGATGAGACGCCGACGATGACAACGAGACGACGATGACGATGACGAAACGACGACGAGGACAATGAGACGACGACATCGACGGCGACGACTAGACGACAACAACGACGACGAGGCGACGACGACGACGAGAGGACGACGACGACGAGAATCTGAACTGGGCTCCCTAGACGCCCTGAGCTTCTCGGAATCACTGGACTCGCCGGGCTCCCTGGACTCAAGCAAGCAAGCACGCACGCAAGCAAGCAACAACGGAAGCACGCAAGCCATTGACCGAGCCATTGGAATCCATCGAACTCGCCAGAGGAAGCCATAACACTAGCCATAGGAGGCCATGGTACTTGCAATAGTAAGCTATGGAACTAGGTATGGAACCAGACATAGAACGCCATGGAATCTGCCATGGGGAGCCGTAGAGATAGCAATAAAACCAGCAATGGGGAGCCAGGGAACTAGCCATGGGAAACAATAGAACTAGCGATACCATGCCATAGAACCAGCCATATTAAGCCATGGACCTAGCCAAGAAACAGGCAGAGAAAGCAAAGGAACTAGTCATAGAGCTAGGCAGAGCAAGCCACGATATAAGCCATAGGAGTCCATGGAACTAGCCATGAGAAGCCATGGAACGTACCATAGGATGCCATGGGACCATCCAGAAGTCTTGGAAATAGTCATGGGATTAGCAATACTGCGCACGGTCAAACTCACTCCCGCGCCCGGCCTTCGTGGACCAGTTCTCTACGGATTTAGCTGCGACTCCAATAGGCAACCCTACTTGGATAATTATCCATATATAGCCATGGAACTAGCCATGGAACGAGCCGTGGATCTAGCCATGGAAATCGCCATGGACCCAGCCATAGGAAGCCATGGGATTAGCCATAGCAGGGCACGGGGTCAACCGTGACAACCCATGGAAGTCGCCATAGAAGGCCATGGCACCAACCGTAGCAAACCATTGAGCTAGCCATAGGATGACATGAAACCAGCCATTGGGGGCCACGGAACTAGCAATTGAAAGCCGTGGAACTAGCCAAATGAGCAATGCAACGATCCAGAAGCCATGGAACGGCCAAGACCGCACAAGGTCAAATGTTGGGCCCGCGCCCGAAACTTCGATATATATTCTCCAGGCCTGCCTATTTGGGCGAACAAGTTGAACACCGAACATCAACAGCGAATGCATTGATGGAGGTGATAACAGACTCATGATGACATAAAAAAGCACAGCTTCAACGATATTGCAACAACCGCGATGTGCAACCGAGGCCTACGGCTTCAAGAGCACGGCCACGTAAAATAATTAATGTCCTGGAGTATTTGGGATAAATGTATTAAATGTCCTGGCCCCCCCCAGATCCCCCAGACAGAGCGTCCCAGCGTCTTCGGCTGCACGCAAGAGTGACCCTGGGTAAGAGTGACCTTTGGTGCGCGGCTGCTTGTGGGCCGCGGGGGGACCAAACCTGGGCGCGCAAGCCGCTGCTCCTGCTTCGTTTTCAGCCATCTGGGAACCCGTCTGCGCCCGCCCCAAATTGTCACTCCGGCGAAAGGTCACTCCTACGTCTAGTCGACGTCTGCCCTCCGCTCACCGGCTTGCGGCGCCGGGCTCCCGCAGGAGCCACAGCCCAGGCAGGCCCTCGGGCCCGCACGCGGGCCCTCGGGCCCACGCAGAGGCGCCACACGCCCGCCGGCCCCCTGGCGCGCCAGGCTGCAGCCGGAGCTCCCCCACGCCGGGGCGGGTGGCCGCCGGCCCGGGCCGCCCGCTCCGCCCTCGGTGGAGGGGGAGGAGGAGGAGGAGGGGGAGGAGGCGGAGGAGGAGGAGGAGGAGGAGGATCACGAAGAGGAGGAGGAGGAGGAGGAGGAGGGCGAGGAGGAGGAGGAGGAGGAGGAGGGCGAGGAGGAGGAGGAGGAGGAAGTGAGGACTCCTAATAAAACGTAAGTGCAAGCCGTGGGCCAAAGCTGTGCTGCGGCGCAGCCCGTGCGGCCGCCCAGTGCACGAGAGGCGCCCCCCGAGAGCGCCCACGCGGGCGGGCCGCAGGCGGAGACCTGGCACCTCCGCGCAGCGCACGAGGCTCTCCCACGAGAGCGCCCACGGGCGGTCATCGGGCTAATCAGGAGGCCACGTGCGAGCCCTACCCCTACCCCCCACCAATTCTGAGGGGGGTAGGGATATGTGGACGCCCGAAATGGGTACGGAAAGAATGGGTACAATGCCCAACAACACATGTTGTCCCAAACCAACCGCGGCCGCTGTTGGGCAGGCGGCCCTCTGTCTCAGATGGACACAAGCCGCGGCGGCGCGGACAGCGAGTCCTGTTCAAAATGAACAAGATCCCCTGTTGGGCATCGTACCCATTCTTTCCGTGCCCATTTCGTTCGTGCAGAGGGTAGGGTTCGCACGTGGCCCCCTGCAGGCGAGACAGGGGCACAACCGCCCAGCGCACGAGGCGCCCACGAGCGCCCACGGGCGGGTACCGGGCGAAGCCTCGGCACAACCGCCCAGCACGGAGCGCCCACGGGCGCCCCGCCGACAGCCCGGCGGGCACGCACAGCCAGCTGCCCAACGCAAAAGCAGAAAGAACCCCTGGGTGCAAGCACTGCGTGGTGGACTGGCCATCGCTCGGACGTCCATTCCCTGTGTCTTTTTCGGTTTCGTGCGTGGTTGTTTCACCAAATGATCACGGATGCTCCTCGATGGTCCTCGCCGAAAGAAAAATGCACATGTCCGAGCGATGCTAAGGGGAACTTGCGACTCGCATCGCTGTTCGATCACCTTTCAATGGATCATCGCTTCCACGTCGTGCAGCGCATGATTGCGAATACACGCCGCAAAAACTGCCGCAGGCAGGTGTGCATGCAAGCGTGCACTTACTGTATGCTACCAGATTCCATCCGCTGCAAGCGACTGCTGATGGCACAGACAAGCACCGCCACCTTCCAGTCGGGCAGGTGCTTCCTCGCGAAAGTCACCTGCCAGTGCGGAGGAGGAGGAGGAGGAGGAGGAGGAGGAGGAGGAGGCCTTCGAGGGGGGCACCCTCACCTGCACCCCAGGCCAACGCCAGGATGATGCTCGCCCAACTCCTCCTCCACATGCCCTCTGCTGCCCTGAACCCTCGCCCTGGGCACGCACGCATCACGATGATTAATAGTTCGGGAAGGAGCATTCCCCAAAGAGCGTCATGTGCTATCGAACGACATCCTGGACTACATGCCCGTCCTGCCCCCCCTCGCCAGCCCCAGCACCGACTACGGTGCTGCCAGACAAGGGCGGACGCATGTAAAATCAATCAACGCCCACCCCCTCGGTGAAGCCGTCTCGAGAATTTGTGACGTCTTCGAGGAGGCGTCACGGCGTCGGCCCTCGATCTTCACGCGCATTGGTCAGGGCCGGCAAGGAGGTGGGCGTCCACGGGGGTGCGCAGATCATGGCCGGCGGCATGTGCGCGGCCCGGGGGGGGCCAGGAACGTATTGAAATAAGAGAGAGCGTGATCCACCGCCGCTTCGCTATGCAAAAATTCCCCCTTTTTCCCTTTGGAACGGGGTGCCCCCCCAAGCAAAAAATAAGCCCCCCCCCTTCTTCGCCCCACCTCTTCCTCTGACAAACCCCCCCCCAACCCCTCCCTCCCCCCCCAGGGGGATCACCACCAGTTCCCACCCCCCCTCCCCTCCCGCACGAGAAAACCGGAGGGGGTCATTACCGGCTCGACCCCCCCCTCGATTGGGGTGGAATGCGGCCCCTGAGGGCGGCGAAGTAACTTCATTAACTGTATGAACTCCGCGAGTGAGCTCCTAAAGTAAATGAATTCACGTCAGTAACATTAGCAGCTGCACGCGAGAGTTAATGAAGTTAATAAAACTAATAAAGCGGCGACTTGACTTTATGAACATTTTATCAAATTCATTCAATTTTTGAAACTTCATTAACTAAGTTAAATTTAACAGATGATGGGGAGGCGTGGCAGAGAAGCCCCATTTATGACAGCTAACAACTTTAATCAAGTTGGTGAAGTTCAGAATGGTAAGGAGGTCTGTCGTAGATTGGAAGGCCGGCCGTGGACAAGAAACTCATATAATAAAGTTATGAAAATTAGTAAAGTTACTGAAATTAACAACGTTAAGAAGATTCATAAATAACTGTATTACCAGTATTAAATGTGTCAGTTGTATTAATTTTATCAAATTTCGTAGATGAGAGGGGCGTGGCCGACAAGACCCATCTTCCAAAGTTAATAAAGGTACTAACGTGAATAAAATGAAGTATTACTTGTATAAATTTGATTGTTTTTCCAATGTTTGGTTGATGAGGGGGTCGTGGCCGAGAAGTTCCATCGACGAAAGTTAACAAAGTGAATGAAAGTAATACAAAGTTACTAACGTTCATTGTTAACTTTCTGAATTCTTGAACGTTGCTAACTGCATTGGCTTTACTACCTGTCTTAACTTGATTCACTGCCCTCATTATGAGACTCCTCCCCCCATTCCCGCCTCCGCAAATGAGCGCATACACTTAAAAAGATCAATACACTGAATCAATGTTTTTAAGTTTGCTAACTGTTCTGAGCACCCACTAGATTGCCTTAGCAAAACGTCCCTGCGGCAGCAAAACAGAAAAGGAGGAGGAGAAGGAGGAAGGAGGAGGAGGACAGCGATGAGGACGAGGGGGGATGGGGAAGAAAGGCGTTGATTATGCTCGATGACTCCTTCAGCCAGCCGCGGGAGGTGCGGTCGGCGGCCGGCGCGTCGTTACCGCGCGGACCCGCGTCAACGGAAACGCCGGGGAGAGAGGAAGGATGTTTCAGGGGCGCCGCTTCCTGATCGCCACAGTTAGCGCGCGTCGAAATTGTGCTTCATGGTTGCCCCGGAAAGGTGTGAAATTTCAGTTTTTCTTGAGGCAATCCCTTGTGTCTCCCATTCCTCCCTTCCCTCTTGCTCCTCCTGCCCCCTCCCCCCCTCTTACTACCTTTTTGCCACGTCATCATCGTTCAACAAGAAGCGAAGAGCAACAGCCGCCTGAGTGTCCATTACCTGATCATTCGCACTGGGCTGTCGTTACGTGCCCTGGGGAAAACCAAAGATGCTTCGGCGATCACCGCTATTACCAGCCAGTGTTGTCATATGCGTTTGGCATTCGTGCTGTGGTTAGTGATCAGACCCAGGGACGTTGCAGGGGCGGCCTTGTCAGAGGCCAAAGTGACGTGGACGAGGGCGAACTCAATCTGCTGCAAGGAGGCGACGAGGAGGAGAGGGATTGCGGGCGGCCCCTGAAACATCCCTGAACGGGAACCAAGAAATCGCACGCGGGAGGAGGACGAGAGAAGCAGGGGTGATCGCGGTTGTGCAAGCGAGGCTGCTATCAGCACGATCAATCCCACTCTTCCTCTCCCTCCTGCTCCTCCTGCTTCCCCCCTCCTCTTGCCCCACCTTTGCCGCGTGATCATATTGGCGCAAGATTGCCCCCCACTAGATGACAAGACGTAGTTCCGCTCTGGCCGCGGCTGGCCCGTCACAGCAGGCCTAGGTTCGAATCGCTTCTCAGAGGCCCCATCGGTCGCTTCTCGACATCCCCCTCGCCCCAGCATCGATCGAGCATGGGGCGGCTCGATCCTTGCGGTCGTTCGGCATCGGCCACGACTCCGACGAGGAGGCAGCAGACCCCCACAGAGACCAGACCCCCCTCGACGCCGCAGAAGACCCCGAGGACGAGGCCACGGACAAGCCCCCGCAGCCTTCGCAGGGGGGCCGCGCGGATGAGGCCGAGGTGTTTGCCGGCTCCGACTTCGCGGACGTCCAGAGAGATGAGGTCCAGCTGTTCCACTCGAGAATCGAGAAGGTGACGAAGGAGCAATTGCACGAGGCGCTCCCCGAGACTCTGCCCGGCGACGAGCGAGGGATCGCCTGCCCGCAATCCCCCTTCTCCTCCGCCACGTAGAGAAGCGACACTGCGCCCGAAAACGGGCGTCGAAGAGAATTGCTGGCGGCCACCGTTTAGGAGCCGCGAATGTCACTGCCGCCGGCACCAAGTAGTTGAGAATCATGGCCACGTTGTCCGACCATGATCGCATGGCGCGCATGGCGCGGCGTGACTACTCGGCGCGAAGCGCGGCGGTCCTTGGCGCAGCGTGTGGCGAGGTGGACGCATTCAAGGATCGACGCGGCGCCCTGCTCCTCGACGCCAACGCGGCATCGTTCGTCAGAGCGACGGCTGCCAGCTCCATCCCCGCGCAGTACCTGCCCATCGGCTATGCTTACGTCACCGAGGCCTTCTGCGAGATGTACTGCGCCGAGTTTCTCCCGCGCGGCTTCGCCGCGGGGGAAGTGCGCACTCGGCTTGCCCCGCGCTACCTACGAATGAAATGCGAGCTGGCCGAGCACACTCCCTATTCCCAAGAGCTACTTTGAAAAATTCTGATAGAAAAGAAATTGCACTCAGAAGAAATTGCGCGTCAACGCGCGTCGGCGCTGGAAGAGCACAGGGGGCGCGGCGAGTTCCGCCGCCTGTCCGTCGACGGCCTCTTTCGCCCATGCCGCGGCATTGCTGGGCAGGCCGATTGCCGAAATAAGGCTATCGTCCGAGAAGCCGCGGCAATCCCGACGCGGAGGCGGCGCGGCGCATCGCCACCGTCCGCGGGAAGACGGGGGCCGCGGTTTGCTGCGCGGGAACCAAGAGCGAGGGCGGGCAGGACATCACTGGCGAGCTCGCCCAGCACGCCCCCGCAGATTACCTGGCCGAAGCGCGCACCATTGACCTGATGCGCCAGGCCCCTGATTGCGCCTGCAATGCCGAACTTGGAGTTCCTCGTTCTCGACCTGGTGCAAATTGCCTTTTTGTTCGAGTCTGCGCGGGGCAAGGCCAGGACCTCGGCGGGGCAGGCCCTGCGGACGACGCAGGCAAAGTGGAACAAGGTTGCAACCACGTCCAACTCCCTCCGTTGGGCGAGACCGCCTGGCTGTCTAAGCAAGCCCTGCTTGCGCGCGAGATGATCGCCAAACGCTGCATGGCCGCAGGCGCGGGGGCTCGCCGCCTGCGGGATCTCGACGGGAACGCCCCCCATTACACGGTGGACGGCCACATCGAAAAACCTCGCCACACTCTGCGCTGCCGCCCCAGCGGAGGTCGCCGGGAAGCCGTCGGCGAAGGTCGGCCCACTACACTGGGCCCTGCGGCGCGTCACCAGTCCTGAGCGCTTCATGCACGCGCTCAGCAACCAGCGCCGCCTTCGACTCGCCCCAGAGGAGCAGCGAGCGCAGCTGTCCTCCGGAACCGCCGCAGTGGAGGCCCGCAACGCGGAGATCAATGACCGTCTCCGCCCCCATGGCTCGTTCCACCAGTCCACGCCCCTCATCGCGATCAAAGCTACTGGCGATTTAAAGCTGCTAACCCACAATTCTGCAGTGTTTGGCCCAAAACTTCGCAGACAACTCAGCGCGCCGTCGCCGCGCATGCGACGCCGGGCCCCCGCCTCCTCGACGGCCGGCGGGCGTCCGCGAGAGCTTCGGAGGCCCCCCTGGTTGCTCGACGTCTCGAGCACAAGAGGCGCATTCACGCGGCCAGGGAGAGGAATAAGCCCGCGGCTGCAGCGGGCGCCCGCGGCTTGTCTCTGCCAGGAATACACGGGGGGCCAGCCGCCAGAAGCCCTCCGAAGGGTCGGGGCGACGCATCGAAGCGCCACACTTTCAACGAGGAAGCGAGGAGCTGCACCCGCCTGAGCGCGCATCACTGGCCCATTCGCACCGAGCAGTCGGCACGTGACACCTGGGAAAACCAACGGTGCTTCGGCGATCACCCCCATGACCACCCACCGCTGTCGCACGCATCTCGCCGCGGCTCATTACCAGGCAAGGGGGCGTTTCAGGGGCGGCCCTGTCAGAGACTAACGCGATGTGGATGAGGGCATGTTCAACGCGCCAAGTGCGAGGCCAGTGGCACGCCACGAGGAAGCGAGCAGGAGTAGAGGGATTGAGGGCGGCCCCAGAAACACCCCTGAGCGGGGGCCAATGAATCGCACGCTGGAGGGGGGCGAGGGGGGCAGGGGCGAGCGCGGTTGAGCAAGGGAGGCCGCTATCTACACGATAAGTCATCGCTGTCGTCGCGTCCATGTTGTGCCGCTATCGAGATGCCGAGCGCGAGGCCCGTGTCTCGCCGCGAGGAGGCGAGGGGGATGAGCGGGACTGAGGGCGGCCCCTGGAACATCACTGAACGGGGGCCGCGGAATCGCAAGCGGGAAGATGGCGATGGGGGGCAGCGGCGAGCGCGGCGGCGCAAGGAAGGTTGCTACCAACATGATTAGTCATCACTGTCGCCGCGCCTAAGTCTCACCGCCACACTCGAATCCATACATTCGTAGCTTTTGCGGCTCGAGATACCCTGCACTAAATCATGACCAGCCGCTCAGGCGAGCACGAGGAACTTATCAACCTTACAGTCACCGCGGGCGCGATGATCAATGCCAATCCGCCGGCAGCGGCGACCGCAGCAGGCGCCGCCAATCAAGCAGCAGAGCCCGCCGCTTCTCAAGCCGCCGCGCACCCTGAGCCAGCCGGCCCCCCATCGGATATTTTCAATGGGCGCGAGCGCTTCCCAGGGGCTCAGGAGTCTAAGGAGACGTTCATCAAATCCGAGAAGGACCTAGACACGTTCATGGTAGATCTCGCCCGCGACGCCAAGCGGCCCCGGCGCGCGCCTCGAGAGGGCGCTCGTTATGAGAGCCACCGCGCCGAGAAGGACATCGAGCGCAAGTGCGCGCACTGGACAGAAGAGCACCGGAGACGTGCCACTGCCGCCCCCGCGGCGTGCGATCAGCGGGTCGGTGACTCTGCGACCAGTGAGTTTGCGACCTCGGCGCGGCTGGCTCTCGGCTGCGATCGCGCCATCAGCGTCGACGGCCGCCCGCGCTACTTCGATCCGAGAAGTGTCGGGTGGAGGGCGTGCACCGGCTTGTTCCCTGGGGGCATGTATGCGCACTTGAGCTCGTTCATGAACCAACTCGAGGGCCTGTTCCGATGCTTTGACATGGATGTCAAGCGAGATGCCGACAGCATTCTGGCGAAGATGGGAACTCTCGTCGTCGGCTCTGACGGCGATGGCATTGAGCAGAAGACAGGCCATGTGTTCCAGATGTTCGAGCATTTTGCACTCTGGAACAAAGGGGCGGGGGGCCAGGAAGAAGTCGCGGCCGAAGTGGACAGGCTGGCTGCCCCCCCCCCCCCCCCCCCAAGAGCAACCTGAAAGCGAGAACGAGGGGGCCCTCGGCGGCGCCCCCGCAGCGGGCGAGGAACCTCGGGCAAAGGAAACGAGAATGCCTTGGCACATCGAAACTGCTGCGCGTATCCGATCATTTGCCAAGAAGCTGATATCCGAGCTCATGCAGGGGGGGCTCCGTGGACAAGGACTTCACAGAATGGTGCTCCACTTCGGTAACCCCTTCGCAAGGGACATGCTCATGCTACCTCGACCGCGCCGTCAAGCACGACGCCCCCACGCAGGCAGCCAACGGCGCCATCGCCCTACAGCCGCTGGTCGTGCTAGACGGGATGCCCGCGGCGAAGGACTCCTTTTTCTTTTGCCTGGCCTCATCGCTCATGCCATCCGCCCGCGAGGACGAGGGCACCGAGGATAAGGGCCCCGGATGTGCTTTGGACGACCCTTATTTAAAGGCCGCAACGGACGACGCGAACAAGTTCTTGTCCAGTACCTTCTGGTGCAACTTCGAAGCCCTGAATGCGATCCGCGCTGCGCTGGCCTTTGCGAAGCGCGGGCTGAACGCGCCCCAGTGCTACATGTTCCTCGGTGCAGGCGGCTGCGGCCTCTCCCTCTTCACCGACCTCATCGCGACATCGATGGGCGACGAGCTCCACAAATATTTTGGCCCTTTTCGTGTTTTATGATGATGAAGAACTCAGGAAGTGCGTCGAGCTCCTCGCGGGGGGGATGCGCGTTTTCAGGGCAGGAGCGGCCCCGAGGATCGAAGAAGAAGAAGTTGCTGTTGCGACTGTGGAAGAAATTCCTCGGCGGCGAGGGCTTGCGAGGATGGCTACCATATACTGCGCTGACCCGCATGATCAGGCTGATTGGATGGGCGAAGGTAGCTCGAGGTGAACTCCACGCTCGCTTTCAACGACCTCACCGAGCAGGAGTTCGAGTCCATTATGCGGCGGTCCTGCGCGAGAAAGATCGCCGCTCGTCCGTTCGAGGAACAGCACCTGGACGCGAACTTCCCCGACCACGAGCTGCATGGCATTTTCACCCAGGACCCGTCCTTCACTCGCAAGTTCCAGCCCAGTCGATACGCGGCTGCTTGGAATCGCACCCAGTTCATCTTCGAGGCCAACAACTAGGGGGCAAACAAACCTACCTCGCTTTTGACCACCCTCGCTTCCAAGAGATACCAAACGATGCCAAACTACGGCCTGTACTGGTCAGGCCGCTTGACGAGGAGGCGCGTGGTATGACTTGGTTTTGCCTTGAAGCGAAAGCGGGGTAGGTAATTCACGCTCTGAACAACGGGGAGCAGCAGTGCCACGACTTCCTCGCGCAGTTCCCGCGCGGCGGCAAGGGCCGCGGCGTCGCGGAGCGCTGCGTGCGCCGAGCGCGCTGCCTCGAAGCCCCTGCAGCGTCCAGCAACCAGTCTCTGATGGCGGGCGCGATGGCGGAGACAGCTGCCAACGAGACCCTGCTTCTGGACCCCGCGTCGGCGAGCGGCGAGGAACGCGACATCGCCGTTGCATTGGTCCGAGAGACTTGCGACCCTGGGCTCGAAGCCATGACTCTGTCGTATTTCGACCGGCGCCGCCGGCAAACTGAGGGGTCTACCAAGAATCGCCAGCAGGTGTGGGACGAGCTCGCCCGCTCAGGGCCGTGGAAACTCCAAGCGACCAAGGCGCAACACCATGACGGCGCCTCCATCGTCCCAGTCTTTCCGCTCAAGCGCGGGTCCTCCTCCTCCGCCTCATCCTCCTCCGCCTCCTCCTCCCCGGGACTTCTCGGGACCCCAAGTGGAAAAAAATCAAGACGCCGGAAGACAGGGTTGGGCACGCCCGAAATGGGCACGGACAACATGCGCACGATGCCCATAAGCAAATGTTGACCAAGACCGACAGCGGCCGCTGCTGAGGCAATCTCTTGTCCCGAGTGGACAGTATCCGCGGCGACACCGACAACGAGTCTTCGTCCCCGTTCTTTCCGTACGCACCGACTTCGCATCGTACCGAGGGCTGGGAGTGCCGATGGCCCGACATGCCTCGCCCGAGCCCCGCGGGCAGACCTTCCGCGTCGGGAGCTGCGCTGCCACGGCGCCGTCCTGCCGGGAGCCGCCCGGGGAGATCGTGAGGTCACATCGATCGCTGGGCAACGCCGCTCAGGAGGGGGAAGCCTCGAGCTGGAATAGGCGGTACATCGACGACACATCGGCGATAGTCGGGGATGGACTTACCCCCCTTTAGTAAAACGTGGTTTAGTGAAAACGACCTGAGGCCCAAACCTGGCGGGCGCAAGCCTGGAAAATAACGGCCACGGCGCCCTCTCGAGAACCGAAAACGGACAATTCACTAATCGACGTGTCACTGTTGGGGGTTCTGTCCACCCCCGAGATAGGTCCCCGATAGCGAACCCGCTCGCTCCTGGGCACAATGGGGCACGTACCCGAGAAATCGGTTGTACTATTTCCGGCAACGGTGACCCTGGGGGGGGGAGGCTGGGCAACAGTGGCGCTCGAGCGGGGTGGGGCACGCCGGGGTGGGGATCGCGCTGGGGTCGCCGTGGCCTGCGCGCGAGCGCCAGCATTGTGGGGGGGTCCAGCCCCTCCCACCCCCCCACCTGCGATCGCTGCAGCTACCAGGGGTCGGGTACAGTGGGGGCCCGGCCACAAGAAACCTCCGCAAGAAACCCAACCCTGAAATGCGCGATCTGCTCGGTGACAGCCCAAATGTGTCGATCGAGAAAATCGTCCAGATCTCATTGGGACCCCATCGAAATCCAAGAAACCCAGGGCACACTGGGGGGGGGGGGGGGAAGCCACGAGCTGGAAAAGGCGGTACATCGACGACACATCGGCGACAGTCGAGGCGTTGACCTAAGGAACCTATAAGGAACGAGGCCCCTATCTTCCATAAGTTGAACTTCGATGTCGTATCGAAAACCTAAGGAAAATCCAAGACACCCAGGGCACCCTGGCAAAACCCAACTGGCTTCTTGGCGCGCGGCCCCACTGTATCACGCCACGAGGTCCGTCCCAGCGCTCCCCCGGGAGCCGCCGAGGCAACGGCGGCCCTCCCTGGCACCTCGTCGTCCTGTCGGAGCCTCCTGGAGGCTTCTCTGACGGGGCCCCAGGACACACAAATAAATACACACAACAACAACAACAACAACAACAACAACAACAACAACAACAACAACAACAACATCAACACAACAACAACAACAACAACAACAACAACACAACAACAACAACAACAACAACAACAACAACAACAACAACAACAACAACAACAACAACAACAACAACAACAACAACAACAACAGCAACAACAACAACAACAACAACAACAACAACAACAACAACAACAACAATTACTAGCACGTGGGGACACTCCGTTCTCACCAGTGCCAGGGTTTTCATAGGAGGCGGGCAATACCCCCACTTTGTGGGGGGGCCGGTTCAAGCTCTACCAAATTTCCAAACGACTCTTCGCCACCACCCACACCCAGCTTCCCGCCCTATGACGTTCGGACACTTCACTTCGTGGCCTGCGGACGACCGTGGCTACTACACTGGCGCATAGGATTCGGACAGCGCGCGCGGGTAGAAATTTTGAAAATTCGTACAGATGTTTTTCGAGGACCTACGGTGCGATTCGTATGATTTTATGTTGCGCGGTGCTAAAATTCCTAAGAAACCCAATGGTTTTTGAAGATTGCGGCGTGCGCGCGCGAAGAAAAAACGAATGTGTCCCGCATGGTATTATTTGACAGGGATGATGGCCCTGGCAGGTGCGCAACCGTTGTTGCAGAAGTTCGAAAAAGTTGCTCGCAAAAGCCCGTTTGACAGAAATGTTTAAAAAGTGTTGGGTTTCCTACAAATCCGCAAGAGCGCGCGGGATGAAATGTTGACACTTTTTTTTTGAAAAACCATTGGTTTTTTATGTTTTTATGTTAAAATCGCTACGAACACTAAGGTTTTGGAAGGATTTCGTCTTGCGCGCGCGAATGTCCACTTTACCTTATTTTTTGCAAGGGATTCTTGAAGTTTGGTTATGTTAGAACAAGAAATGTCCACTTTGCCTTATTTTTTGCAAGGGAAAACCGCCCGTAACAAAACAACCGGATCCGGACCAACCCGTTTTGCCGGAGACTTCCTCACGAAAATGATGAAAACATGGCTGCGGCCTAGGCGCGGCGAGGGGGCCGCGCACCAGGGGTCCCAACAATAATTATTCTTTAGAAGTAATAATGTTCAACAACAACAACAACAACATCCCCCATATTTTCCCATCTTTTCTGGGCTTTTGTCTTCCCCCCCACTTCCCATATTTCCCCATATTTTCCTGGGAATCGACGATCAATTGTGTCTGTGTGTTTTTCCCCTCCTGATTCTCGTCGCCACGGCTGGATCCGCCTCAAAAAGACGGGCCAGGACGGGGACCGATGACGATCGGACTTGGGCCGGGTGCCGGAGCCGCTAGTCTCTCAGCCTGGCCTCCGCCGAGATTCCCCGAGGAGGCGAACCCTGGCCAGGCCAAATCGAGCGAAGCGCTCTGGGCTCGGTCGGGGGCTCGCCTCGACGGCCAGCGGCAGGACGCCCCACCGACCCCGAGGAGCTCTCTCCGTTCTGGCCTGGCGACGGAGAAGCGGAAGAAGTCGGCGGCGCGCACACGGGAGTAGGGGGGAGGGGGGAAGGCTTCTGAGAGGGAGGTCGCATCCTAGAAGACAGAGGCCTTACGTCTGCAGACGAGGCCCACGCCTCCGAAGAAGCAGGGGTGCTTCTAAGAAGCCTCCCCCCTCCCCCTACCCCCCTCTGCGCGTGGGCAAAGAAAGGGAAAGTTGGAACCCTCATGAAAGTAGAAGTGGCCTGGGTTGGAAAAACTGTCGAGACATGCAACGAGCCCGAAACAAGTGGGCTGAGGGGGCCAGGGCTGGAGAGACATCGGGACGCCTGCCAAAGCTGGAAAGACTGGAGGGGCTGGCCCCAGCCGCTTGCTCCAGTTTCTCTGCAGGGGTCCATGCCTGCTTTCGGGAGCGTCCAAGAGAGGGGCGTCCAAGAGGGGGGGGTGCAAATGATGGCCCGAGGCATGTGCGCGGACCAAGGGGGGGGCCGGAGACGTCTTGAAATAAGAAGAGGTGCCAGGAAGCCTGGGGAGATATCATGCCCCCACCAGTGGTATCCACACCCCTAGTCCTCACCCCCCAGTTTGCCGCCCCGGATGTTTGACCTGCCGAGCTCCTGGGAGGGCTGCGAGCCCGGGGCGAAGGACACCCTCGCCCCCGCCGCGGGCATCTCTCGCTGGCCGCCGGTGAGCAACTCCCAGCAGGACCGCGTGCCCGGCGCGAATGACACCCTCGCCTCACCGGCGGAAGCCACCAAAGGACGACAGCCCAGGGGCGGGCATTACACGCATCCGCTGGGGAGCCTCGTCGGAGAGGACAGGCGGAGCCCCTGGATGCATGCACAGTCGAGCTTGATTGGAGAAGACACGCGAGGGTACACGAGGCCGCATGCCTTGCCACGGGAATGTGGAAAGCATGGCTCGTGGAACACAGGACACGAGGGCACCCCTGACTTGGCAGGGTCGACCTACTAATCGAACTCGACTGTACTGCTCTCCCAGGCCTGGTCAGCATGGCGGAAACGGGACCTGGTGGAAACAGGTCCTGGGCCCCGGGGCCTTCTCCCCGGGACCACAGACTTCGTTCGTCCTGACTCGTTTTCCGACATCCCCAGGGCCCGTGGAGGGCCACGAGAGCCCGGACACAAACGGTGAAGGAAAACCTCGGGATCCGTTTCCCTCGGGACCCGTCCTTCGGGCATCTTCTGACCCGGGTCGATCCAGACCCGGGTCAGCAGGAAACCAAAAACTGCAATGCAAGGAAATAAAACTGCAGCGCAGATCTTCGCAAACCCGGGTCGGCCAATGTGCGCGGCCGCCTCGCGGCCACGAGCGGCTCGCTGACCCGGGTCAGCCAGAGGGGGTCCTCGCAGGGTCATGCAGGATCTGGTGCCCTGGCTGACCCCCGTGTGCATGGACCCCCGTCTCAAGGCTCCCGAAAGGCCCCTCTCCCAGTGTGGCCGGCGCGAGATATCCGCGGAGCGGGCGCACGCGGCGCGCGATGAATTTGAAGGGGCCCTGGGACACACAAATAAATACACACAAGTAAAAATATTCCCCATATTTTCATTGCATTTGACCCCCGTCTCAAGGCGACCCGCCCCTCTTGCAGCCGCCGCGCCTCCGTGGCCGACATGCCCCCGCAGGCCGCCCCTTCCGGCGGCGCGCCCTGGGTAGGGCGGCGAGCCCAGACTCCCCGACGCCATGCTCTTTTTCCATGACGTCGACCCCCAGAGGTCTCCAAGGAGGCGGAGGCGGAGGAGGAGGAGGAGGAGGAGGAGGAGGAGGAGGAGGAGGAGGAGGAGGAGGAGGAGGAGGAGGAGGAGGAGGAGGAGGAGGAGGAGGAGGAGGGGGGAGGGGGAGGGGAGGGGGGAGGAGGAGGAGGAGGAGGAGAGGAGGAGGAGGAGGAGGAGGAGGAGGAGGAGGAGGAGGAGGAGGAGGAGGACGCAGCGGCGACGAGCGCCCGAAGCACGCCTGGAGCTCGAGGGGTCCGCGTCTCCTGATCGTTGCATGACGTCAGTGACGTCGTGGAACGATTCCCCAGGACCGGCTTCTCATCCTGCGTCGTTGCTTGACGCTCCCGAGGCCCCCTGTGGGGGCCTCCAGAGGCCGAACACAGCAAGAAACCTTCCGCCGTGATGTCTTGCATGACTCGAGGGGGTCCGGGAGGGGAGCGCTGGGCAGGGGCGCGGCGGCAGAGGGCGCGCCCCAGCTTGGGCCACGCTGGGAAGGCGCGCGCGACGCGTCAGATATGACGCGAGCGCACATGGCTTGCCCCACCCCCCCCTCCCCCCTCCCCCCTCCCCCCTCCCCCCCCTCCCCCCTCCCCCCCTCCCCCCCTCCCCCCTCCCCCCCTCCCCCCCCCCCTCCCCCTCCTTTCCTTCTTCGGCTCACCGCCGATCGACGCTCAAACGACTCACCAGGGTCCGACCGCGTGGGGGCTGGCGGCAGGCCGGCGAGACCTCGGGCGGCGTGCCCTTGCTGGTGTGCCCCTCCGGGTACTTCACGCCCTGGCCCGGCGCGTGCGGGACCCGCTAGTGCGAGCGCGTCGTCGTCGTCGTCGTCGTGGTTCGTCGTCGTCGTCGTCGTCGTCGTCGTCGTCGTCGTCGTCGTCGTCGTCGGCGTCGGCGTCGGCGTCGGCGTCGGCGTCGGCGTCGGCGTCGGCGTCGTCGTCGTCGTGGTCCGTCGTGCCCTCTGGGCGGCGGCCCCCCGTCGAGGAGACACAAACACGCATGCGCAAGCACGCAGCGTAGGCCAGTCCACAAGAAACCGTCCACAGGAAACCCGACCCTGAGGCCCCAGGACGTCCGTCGACTTTTGGGGCGGGGAGGTCACGCTCTCCTGACTACCTACCGGACCACCCCAACACGACCCGACGACCCGAATTTGACCCGAATTCCGGGTTGGGGGAGGTACGGGTTCCATATGTTTTTTCAATGTTCCCCGACCCCCACCCCCCCACTGAAAATGGAGGGCAAAACTAAAGCCTTCGGCTTGGGTTGGGGTGGTTTGGTGGGTGGTGATGTCCACGGCAGAAGCATCGAAACCCGATAAAACCAGGGCACCCTGGAGGCAAGCAGGGCGTGTCTCTTGGCATGGGCCTCCACTGTGAGGATTACACCTGAGAGAACCCCAATTAGCGAATGATTTGAAAATCAATACTACGGATCTTGAGATCGATTGCGAGATCGATGATGAGATCGATTGTGGCATCGATCGTGAAGACGATTGGCGTGATCCTCCGCTGTAAGGATATAAGCATTCGGAGGTCCGTGCGGATCTCCGCGGTCGGCGGCGTGCCCCCTCCCCCCCCTGGCGACGCCTCCTCGGCGCCAAGTGCACACCGCGTGCGTCGTCGCGCGCGCGCGCCGAGATCCTTGGAAAGCCCTCCTTGATGTAAGGATTGCAGGACCGAGAGTCACGACAATGGGGGGCCACATGCGAACCCTACCCCTACCCCCCACGAGTTCAGAGGGCGAGGGGTGGGGTTCACTTCGCCTCAGAACTCGTGGGTGGTAGGGGTCGGGTTCGCATGTGGCTCCCTAGACAACATACAAAAACACATGGCTTCGCAACAAGGGCTCTCAGGAAAGCCTGCGCCCGGGCTCTGGCGAATTCTTGCGAAGACCCTTGTTTTTGTTCAACTACAGACAAGGATATACCAAACGGGCCTCTCGCGCGCGCTTGTCGAAATCGTTCGCAACAGGAGCCCTAGGAGAGGGGCAACCTACAATAACATACGTAAAGCACACACGGATGCACGCGCCAGCGAAGCGACTAGAGAAGGATGCAGCTGCAAGAGAAGCGCCGAAAACCGAAGGGGCGCCGACAACCAACGATGCGACGAAAACCAAAAGGATGCCGAAAAACCAAAGACGCGCCGATAACCAAAAGGGCGTCGAAGATCAAAGAGCGGCAAAAACCCAAGGCAGGCCAAAAGCCGAAGGGCGCCCAAAACCAAAGGGGCGCAGAACACCAAAGAGTGCCGAACACAGAAAAGGCGCCGAAAACTAAACTGAAGGGGCGCCGAACATCAAAAGGGCGCCGAAAACCAAGAGCGCGCCGAAAACCGAAGGGGCGCTGGAACCCAAGAGAGCACCGAAAACCAACGATGCGTCGAAAACCAACGATGCGCCGAACACCAAAAAAAGTCACGTCGAAAACAAAAGGAGCGCCGAAAATCACAGGAGCGCCGTAAACCCCACGAGCGCCGAAAACCAAAGGAGCGTCGCAAACCAACGTGGTACCAAAGGCCCAAGGGGCGCCGAAAACCAAAGAGGCGCCGAAAACCAAGAGACGCCGAAAACCACAAGTACGTCGAAAACCAACGGGGCGCCGAACACCAAAGAAAGAAAGGTAGCTTCGAAGCCCCGCCGTCAGTCAGGGCCCTTCAGCTGGAAAGGCCAACAGAAGAAGGGGAGGGGGGTAGCTTCGGAAGCCCCCCCCCTTTGGAAAGAGGAGCCTGGGCTTACCCCAGGCCCCGAAAAGGAGGGGGATGTAGCCCCGAAAAGGAGGCGGATGAAGCTTCCAAGCCCCCCAGCTACAGCATCCAAACAAAAGAGAAAGGGGCGGGGTAGCTTCGGAAGCCCCCCCCCATCCTTTGAAAGGTGGGCCCAGGCTGACCCCAGGCCCCCTCGAAGGGGAAGGGGGGAGTGTCCAAGCCCCCCCCCCCCCCTCATTTAGCTAGCCCCCTCCCCAGCCACAAAAAAATGCCAGGCAAAAGGGGGAAGGGGTAGCTTTCGAAGCCCACGCCCTTTCCAAGGGAAGGGGGTGTAGCTTGAATATGGGGCCCCTCTTTTAGCGAAAAGCGCGCCACAAGCGCGCTCTCTCATCTAAGGGTACAGATAATGCATATATATATATATATATATATATATATATATATGTGTGTGTGTGCATCATTGCAAATCCCTATACACATATACACGTATTTATATATATAAATATACAAGTATACACGCCCACATGCACATGCATATACATATACGTGCATGTACATACGTATGCGAACATACACCGAAACAACTGTATATGCATACGCCTAAACATGTACATGCATATACATGTACATGTACATGAACATACGCATATACGGTTATATATAGACATGTATATATGCGTATAGCACATATATCTGTACACGTACAGGCACACATACATATAACTATACATATACAGATACATATGCGAACCTATATACATGTACGAATGCATACCTATACAGATGCATACACGATTGTATCGACAGTCGCATATACATATGAATAAACGTGTGCAGTTGGATATAAACAAATATATATATATATATATATACATATATATATATATATGCATGTATGTGTATATGAATGCGTACGCGTGCAAATGCAAAGATATCCATATACATATGCATTCACATAGACAATGGCATATGCAGTTGCACATATTAAACATGTACAGGTACGTATGCAACTCCAGCTGCATGTACACATGCATGCGCACAAACATAAGCATGTACACACATGAATATGTATGTGTGCATGTATGTTTGTGTACAACTGTACGTGTTTACCCTGAAACACCACTTCAATGGCGTAGAAACCAATTGGACGAACTCTACTTGTTGGGGCGTCACGCTGTCACCCTCTTGGCTTGCAGCCTCTTGTCACCTTATCCTACCCATTATGCATGTTGGCTGCATCGGCATGTTATGTCCTTCCACGTCGCAACGTCTCACAAGTCTCACGAGGGCAATTTAGGGCGAGCGTGGTTCCCTCTGCTAGTGCTCGCCCTCCGCCTCCACTTCATCCATCCTGCTGTTCAACCTTCCTCATCCTCGCCCTCTTCTTCCGCCTCCTCCTCCCCCTCCTCCTCCTCCTCCGCCTCCTCCTCCTCCCTGTCCTTCCCGCGCGATGGACCAAGGGTCGCCCTGAGGCCTCCTATGGCTTCCGCGAAGCTCCTGGGACCTCCTTGCGCTTCCCCCCTGGGGGCACCCGGGGCCTCCTGGGGCCTCCTGGGGCCTCCTGCGACCTCCTAGAAATTCCTGGGATCTCCTGGGACCTCGCGTGAAAAATCCTCCTGCGGCCTCCTGGGACCTCCTGGGGCCTCCTTGGGGTCACCTGCGGCCGCCTGAAGCCTCCCGGGGCCTCCCGGGGCCCTCCGAGAAGCCTCGCGCAGGGGCGGAGAAGTGACGGCAGCCTCACGGAGGGGAGCCTTTCCGTTTCGAAAGGGGGCGCCGTGAAAGATAAAAAATGACGACGGTGCTGCATTTGAAGCCCAAGACCGTCTCGGGAGTCACTGGGCGCGAGATCCCGGCTCCCCACAGTCCGGTGCGATTCGCCCTTTCCCCTCTGTATCGCCGGACCTCGGGAGGGTGATTTTCTGGTCTCGCTGGTAAGAAACGCTTCCCCCACCTCTCGGCGGTGACAGAGGGCAGTCGGGGGTATTGGGCGGGTAGGCTGTGTGGCTGGTTGGGCTGGCTGGGTTGGTTGGGCTTGTTGGGTGGTTGGGCTGGGTGGGTTGGTTGGGCTGGCTGGTCGAGCTGGCTGGTTGGACTGGCTAGGGTACTTCGTTTCGATATATATATATATATATACATATAAAAATGTGAGTACCTATATATACATACATACATACATACATACATACATACATACATACATACATACATACATACATACATACATACATACATACATACATACATACATACACACATACACACATACATACAAACATACATACATACCTACATACATACATACATACATACATACATACATACATACATGCACACATATATACATATATACATACATACATACATACATACATGCATGCATACATACATACATACATACATACATACATACATACATACATGCATACAAACATACATACATACATACATACATAAATACATGCATGCATGCATGCATACATACATACATACATCCATACATCCATCCATCCATCCATCCACCCATCCATCCATCCATACATCCATGCATACATACATACATACATACATACATACATACATACATACATATACATACATACATACATACATACATACATACATACATACATACATACATACATACATACATACATGCATGCATGCATGCATGCATGCATGCATGCATGCATACATACATACATACATACATACATACACACACACATACATACATACATACATACATACATACATACATACATACATACATACATACATACATACATACATGTATAGATATAGTTGTCTAGATGTGTGAATATAATATATA